ATTGCATTTTTGATTGTGAATTTTTTCCCAAATCTGTCGCTGTGGCGCAGAAAGTTGTAGGGACTAGGTGTCCTGCAGGTCTCGGTATAACGAATATTTAACTAGTGCAAATTTAGAAACTATCTGCAAAAAATTAAATTTTATTGGATATTTTTGCAGGTAGTTTCTAAATTTGTACTAGTTAAATATTCGTTATACTGAAACTCATGTGAAGTCGAAATGATTGAAATCAGTCCTTTTGGGACCAGGTCCTAAACAGTCCAGAATGGGGCGAGGTAAGGGTTTCCATCTGCACATCAATTTTTTATTATTATAATAAAATGAATAACTCGAATAAGAATTTGTATTACGAACAGAAGCTCTAGTAATAAGTCCCACCCCACCTAAAAGAAAAAAGAAAAAATTGATACTCTCTAGAGCAAGCATTACCCATATTTATTTCATCATTGTAAATATGTTTATAAAAATTTGTAACGCCAAGATTGGTTGGTTAACCGGTTAAATTAACCGGTCTTAATTACAACAGCGATAGTAATAGTAATAATAATGCTATTGACGAGATACGGAAACGTTTCTGTTATCAAAATTGCAAAAATGAATTTACTTCTTGAAATGTAACCATTACCAATTACTTTTTTTATTATCGTCATATAATATATATTAATACAAAATTAGAAACTTTCAAACACTATTAATTTTATTAATTTGGTATCGGATGCACGTAGCAACGACAATAACGTATTCATTTCACCAATTTTATTCTATACGACACATTAGAACTTTCTCTCGCGTAAGGAAAATCAATAGATCTTGGCAAAGATTGTATGAACGCTTCCTGGATGGAATCAGAACAAGTAATTCCGAGAACAAAAGAAACGCTGTTTGCTACTTTTTTTACATTATTATTATTATTGCCTTATCAATGTTTTGAACAATTAATTGACAACACAATTAAATGGTAAAGGGATTAAAAATCTAAATCAAATAGGTTGGCTGACCTATATAAATGACCTGCAAGTTTTGTATATAGATAAAAATTGATTGATGATATTGTAGTAGATTTTGTTTTCCTTTAATTTCTATTATTTTCCAGGTACATTCGTTCTCATTACGTGTTTTTAAGAATCCGAGGGAATTGCAAAGCAGACTTATATCTTTGCTAGTCATTCATTATATAGGCCCGTTACCAAGTGATACTAGACCGAGATCTATTACAAATTCACTGAATACATACATGTCTAATCTGGAACAGCAAAATTTCAGTATATAGTATAAATAAATTGAGTTTAACTATATATATATTAATATATAATTAAATAAACTTTATAACGGAAACAGGCAAATGATGCGTATTAATATTACACGAGACTCAAATTGTAGAAGATTTAAATTTTGCCTGTGTAATAAATAATAACGAAATATGATTGGATAGATTTATTTATTTTTGGGTAAATGATGACTGTATTTATAATAGGCTCGGTACCAAAAGATTATTAATTGAATAGAGAAAATGTCGTGACGAATTAATCAATGCAGAGAAAGTTCTTGATCCAATCGATAGTGATGGTAAAGTGTTTCGTCGAAAGGAGTCATCAAGTCCTGATTGAATTTAGCAAGATTACCAGCCATCTTTGAATATCATGGATTTTGTTGTGTAAAAAAAGAGCCTGATATGATCACTACGCAAAATTATTCGAGTGGGTAGATGATCTGTCATCATAGTAAGAAAGAAAATACGTCTCTCTACATCAAAATAAAAAGACCAAGGTTCGTTTTCTGTGCTAAATTTTGTTAATTTTACATCACAAAGCAAGTGAATGCTTCAAGCCTTTGAATCTCAATTTTTTTAAATTAAATTAAATGGTTAAACAATTTAATATTTTATTTTCAACTTTCTTAATGGTTTCTAAATCTGTCGTTAATGAACTGATGAAATATATTACGTTTCCTAACGGTCTACTAAATATTAGCAAACTATCATCATTATCATCATTATTAGATTTTCTAAGTTTTTGTATTATTGATGATGCAATATTTGACGCGTACCCTATGTGAATCAAGAACAATAATAAATGAAGACGAGAATAATCGAATTGAATATTTTAAATAAGATATATATTATATGTGAATATTTTAAAGAGTATTAAATATTTCCTACCGCTCTCCTTGTCTTTTAATTCAATTGATAACAATGTTCCTAATGCAAATGTGCCCTCAACAGTTGGTAAACATGATATTTTCTCGACAGTCTAAATCAATAACAATAAATAACAACAACATAATGCATTATTATCATCATAATTATTTCAGAAATGAAGTATAAATTCAAACAAAATCAATGCTTTACTTCTTTATTCCAAAGACTCCATCCATTTATCAATTTGTTACTATTGTTATAATTATGATTACTATCAAAACTCCATTCTGTTTTTCTTTGTTTCCATGATTCATTATCACTCTCTTGTTTCAAATATTCATTGATTGAGGCAGAAGAAACGGCACAACCAATTGGATGCGCAGTGAATGAATGACCATGTAGTAGTGCATCAACTTTTGAATCACCCAGAAAACTATCAAATATTGATGACTTTGCCAATGTTACAGCCATTGGTAATAATCCACCAGTTAATAGTTTTGCATATGACGCTATATCAGGTTTCTTCAATTTATTTAAAAAAATAATAATAATAATAATAATTAGGAATTAGAAATTATAATTGATTTAAAAACCATTAAAAATATATTTTACATACAATTCCTAACATTTCAGAACCACTTTTATACCCTAATCTCCAAAACCCAGTAAACACTTCATCAAATACTATTGGTATTCCTTTCCAATCATTATTGTCATCGTCACGACGACCACCACCATCCACTCCTATTTTCCAATAATCCCAGTTTCTAATGAAATTGATTAAGCATTTTTGAAATAATGGATCAACAAACATCATTCCACCTGCTCCCATAACAATAGGCTCAATTAATAAAGCACCAAATTTAACATTATTATGAATTACCAAGTTTGTTAAATATTTTTTAATATAATTTGTATAAAAATACGATATTGGATCGCTGATTAATCTTTCATCAGAAAATAACGATGATAGAGATGTATATTTGATAGTATTTGAGTTGTTGAATTTTGTAGTTTCAGTGAATGATGATGGAATCAGTATATGATATTCGTTATTTTTCATTAATATTCTAGGTGGGTTAATCCAATAACCTTTTGGTGTGTACCTATTATTTATATATTGTATATAAATATTAGTTTAATATATATGTGTGTATATATGTTTCTACATGAAAATCAAAATAGTGTTGTTATATAAATTTTACCAATTAACTTGTTTATTATAAATGTTTGGACTAGAAGAATTCATTACTCCAATTGTATCACCATGATAACTACCATCCAGTCCCAATATTTTTAAGTCTAAATTAGGATTATCATTGTAATATTTTTTAATGGTTGATCTCAATGCCATTTTCAATGCTACCTCCATTGCTGTACTTCCATTATCACTAAAAAAAACTTTTTTTGCCCAATCTTTACCGGTCGTATTTAATAAAGTTTCCGATAAATTTAAAGCTGTTTCATTTATACATTCAGGAAATAATACATGTCCATATCTTCCCACTGAATGAGATGCCACTAACGATAACTTTGAAGATCCGTGTCCAACACCTTGAGTCCACCAACTCGCAGATCCGTCAAATAATTCATTCATTTTATTGCCATCATATGTAGTAAATGAATCTTTATACGCTGAATCTATCAGTGTAACGTTATCTACTAATTGATGTTGAGTAAATGGCCACCAAACAATTTCTTTTGCCTTCGATTTCATTTCTTCTAATTTATCAAACTTTTTGTTATGCCATGAATTTAAATATTTTACAGTATTAGCAAATTCATTATCAACACTCGAAAAATATTTGGTTAATTGTTTAATATCCTGAAATTGATCGGGGTGTTTTTCTGGTGGTTTTCTTATTTTTATAATTTTTAAATCTGGAAAATTTTTATCAAAGTATTTTGTTAAAAATTTGTCATTTTCATATTTTGTATCTTCAAATAATAAAATTAACGGGATGTCATATCCGTGTAAATATAATGATTCAAATGATGATATTGTTGTTGATATTCCTCCTAAATTTCCATCGCCTATTAAAATTGTTGGTAATCTTAATGATCTATAAAATTCAGATTGTAAAGTTCCTAAAAAATTACACACACATATATATATATCAATTAGATATAGTGAATATAAAATAAATAACCAAATATAAATTTTTTCACGTAGATTACCTGACATAATTGGACTATTAACACCTAGCAATAACAATAATATTATTGTTAAAATTTTATGTTTCATTATTTATTTTTTGTTTTTTTTAAATTATATGTTACCTCCTGCTGTTTCTAGAAATAGAATTCCATTACTGTTATCATTTGTTTCTTCTTTTGAACTTTCAGAAATAAAATTTTTAATTTCAAGCAATAATTTTTCATCACTCGGTATCTTTCATCGGCAAGCAAATAAATTGATTAATTGGTGATCTTTTTATTTAAACCATATTTTGTTATAAAATATTATTATTGTTGTTACCTCGTTTTTATCAGTTACTGCTGCAATATGTGGACTAACGGGTTTCTCATATTTAAATAAAGATTTTGATCTAAATCTTCTTGACGACGACGATGATATAAATGTTTCTAATAGTCTTGAATCACTATCAACGGGATAACCCGTTTGTACAGGTTTAAGATAAAAAACTTTAGAATTAATCCTATTATTATTATTATTATTATTATTAATTGAAGCTCTGCATAATCCTATCGAAAAAATTGTTTTGCCAACATTTGTGTTTGTACCAAATATTTGATAAATTTGAAAATTTCTAGTTATGTTATAATTTTTTAACATTTTTTATTATTATTAAGAAATTTATATAAATTTCATAACAAAAGTAAAGTTTTATTTTCTTACAAAAAAAAAAAGCATAAATATATTCTCTGAGATTTGTTTTATCTTGGAGAATAAAAAACAACTAAATCAGTTGCATGAAAATATAATACAATTTTTTTGTAAAAGATTTTTTTCTATTTTATTTTAATTTTTCGGGTATATGATTTCCCTTCATCTCTTCATTCTTTATTTCCTCGTATAAAATTTCAAGTACTAAATTGTTACATGATTTCCTGCATCTCTATGACGAACTGAACCTTCTTTCCAACATCTCTACAACCGCTGCTTTTATAAAATAACTAACATTATATTATATATATAACTATGATGATGTTTATAGCATTGTTATTTTTAAATTAATCGATAATTGTAATAAAAATATCATTGCCATTTTCATCTCTAGTATTAATTGTATTTTTTACACAAAATGAAAATTTTAAAACCATTATGGTGATATCAAATATTATTAATTTATTTGGAGCATAAAGTTAAATTAAAATTTATTTCTTTTATGTTTTGCAGTCACAGTTTCAAAAGCCGTGACCGATACTAATATGCTAGATGGTTTTTTTCTGGCAACGAGACCATATTTCTTGTTCATGTTCTCATGTTTCAATGATTTTCAGCGTGTCTTCCCTACAGTCTAACACACTTCCCGGCCAACCTTTATAATATTTGGGGTCATTATGTCTAGAACTGGTGCTATTTTGCGTGTGTTCACCCCAACCATTCAAATGACACTTCGTTCCATTATTTTTAATAAGTTTTTAAACGTATTCCATTAGATAATGGTTTTAAAGGAATGCCATGTTGCCAACAAGATTTAGGTTTTTATCAAAGTCCAGAAATGCGATTTGGTCATATTGATAAATATACGGTTGGATTCCATAAAATTTTCATATAGCCGTTTCTTTTATTATTTTGGTTGTTATTTTTTGATCTAATATATACAAACCAATAAATTTCGCAAAATATATTGATACCACCACCACTTTCTTTTCCATTTATTCCTATTTGACTCAGTGGCTATAAATTTTTAACCGGGTCATTTGAAAAATGACAAATTGCCACTTGATTCGCCAACATCGATCTATTTACTTCAATCGAATCTTAAATTTAATTATTTTTTTATAAAATCGATTTGAAATCCAAAATACACCACAAAAGATATTCTTTGTTTTTTTATAAGAGTATGACATTATTCCAACAATCAAACTATAATCACGTGACTAAAAAATACTTGAACGATTAAATATCCTCATTAACAAAAAAAAATAATATTTATCTCGACCTTTCTTAGTTGACGGATACAAATACAATCAACAATAAACTTGAAATTGATTAAGAAAACTGCATAAGCTACAATGTAACGATGCTATATTTTAAAAATATTTATTAACATTGATATTGCAAGCGTAATTTTTGTCAAATACAAATTTTAAAAAAATCATAACAAAAAATTAATATTAACGTTTTTAATATTAAAAACCATTTAATCTAGATGCTTACGAAATACTTGTTGATTTTATTATTTGACTCCTCGTATGTTTGTGATTATACTTATATCTAACATCCCACTCTCTTGAGAAAGTTTTCCCTTGTGTTTTGGCTCCAACTATTTTGATAAAACGTTCAATTGGTGGATGGGCTGAATCTAAGGCAACAATAATTTCTATCCAGAATGTCACTTGCACTGGTAAACTATATGATGACCTACCATTCAGTGTATTAGTATTTGAATTATAGGAGTAAATCCAGAATTTGGAGAATGATTGCTTCTAGAATAATTAATCAAGTTGAAGATAACTGGGAAACTATTAAGATTCCTAACATGCTGATGTTGGATTATAATAATATTATAAAAGAGTGCAACTGTAATATAAAAAAATAGATTGTTTTTTGACTTTTAAACTTATAAAAAATGGTTCATGTAAAATTAGATTAAGTACATTGAAAAACTTCCTCTTAAATTTTTTTTATTAATGATAAGCTTTTGACTGTATATTTTTATTTACATTGAAATTTTGCAAAATACAATAAAATTTTGATTATTTATTTTTATCAATTATTTGAAAAACTTCTAATTCATCAAATCTACTACCATTTGCTATATCGATGTTATTATAAGCATATTGTGGACCATTAAGAATACTACCATCTACACAAAATTGAATATCCACATCATTATGATCACCAAAAATAGGTAAACAAGTAGGATGACAGTAAATTGCATTCAGATAATTTTCATTTTTAACATAGCTAAATTGTGCAGTATTGATATCATTTCTATCACTTATATTAAATATAAAACTGTCACTTGTTGCTTTATAACCATTTCCATTCCAATCAAGTGGATTATAACCACCAATTATTTGATCAGAATTTTGTATTTTACCAACTACAAAAGTTTTGTTGATACCATCACATTTTCGATGAAATGTTTTAAGATTTAAACCATCTCTACTACTTTGATATAAAAGTTTAAATCCATATTGAACTTGTATGTCTGAATTATATGGTGGACTTTTCCTATCTATCCAACTTGCAAAAAGCAAAATGAGATTTTCATTAATTGTCATTGATTCAAATTTTATATTTCTTGATGGTAATAAGTTTAATAATTGTTGTCTATCAAGAAATAAATAATATTGTAATAGGTTGTTCCACAAAAACTCAGTAAAAATTTCCTGATAGGGTACAATTTTATTAAAAAAATCATCTTTAGAAATATCCTGAAATCTTATTAGAGAAATAAGCTCATTTGTTGTGTTGCCTAAATCAACAAAGTTTTGTGATGACCAATTGTTAAGATCATTATTATTGATTTCTGGATGTCTTGATAGTCCCCATTTAAGAACATTTTCCCAAATAACTATCTCGTTAACAGAAAAATCATCTCTTTTGAGAATTTCCAATAAAATTGGTTTTTCCAATAATTCAAATTCATTTGACTGAAATAATTTTTCACTATAATCGCAAATTTTTTTTAAGTAATTCTTTTTCAATTCCTTAAATTTTTCATTAGAATAAATCAATTGTAGAATTTTAACTGGATTTTCTTTTATATAATCTTCATGTTCTTTAATAAAATAATTCATTGTATATTCATAAAGTGATTCAAGTCCAAGTTCATCAGCTGCAACCAGTATTTCTAATACACCAACTCCAGTAAAACTGTCTAATTCAATCTTACATGTATACAAAAATCTTTTAAAAATAAATAATTGTTAATAAACAATATAAAAAATAATAAATAATACAATAGTAGTTTAGTTTAAACTTACTTGAGAATATGTTTGAAAAGTTGTTCATTAATATTTGCTGTTTTAACAATATAATAACCATTTTCTTTTGTTGCATTGTTTAATGCAATGCTAAAAAATGGACAATGAGCACATATGATGGAGGCATGTGCATGAAATTCTTCTATATTTGGTTCTACACCTACACATATTTTTACATCATAAAAATCCTCTGTATTTAATAATCTTTCATTTTCATTAAAATATTTTTCTAAAGTTGTAGAGTCCATTTTTTGGAAATGATTGAAAATGTTAACACAGTCAAAAATATTATTATATGAAATGGGATATTAATATGCGGCGGATTGGTCACCTAATTCGGACATTTTCCGAAAGGCAAATCCTTTATCCATGGAATAACAATGAATAAAAGCTTCCGCTTTTCGGGTGTATGGCATGGATATCTCTGATGTTGATCTCTGGGATTTTGTCCGGATAACTCGCTCTATGATCGATAAACTCATGGGTAGGATAATTATAATATATCCTCCTCTACAGGCAAAACCTTTGTCCACGATGACAAACGGATAAAGGTTTTTGCCTGTCTGTCGGAAAATGTCTGAATTACCTGAGATTGGTCTAGAAAAAAATCAAGGTTATGGATAGTTTTTATTTATTTAATGAAGCAAATGATGATAAGTAGTAAAGCTCTAAATAAGCCGACTTGAAATAAATTTTTTTATTTCATTTTTTTTTTCAACATATCAGATATTGTATAATTTATTTTTTTTTACAAAATAACAAAGTAGATATACCAATGCAATTTAATTTGTTATCTTGTGGCATAGATCCGTCAGAAGCAACACCTTTGCCGTGAAATAAACTACATAATATAATAATAAAATGATATTGTTATAATTATTATAAGAGAAATTTTATTTTATTTTAGATTTCGTGACCACAACGTTTACCTTTTGTTTTAATTAATTGTAATTAAATTCATTACTTTAATAAAATAAACCAGCTAAATTAATTAAAAAATTAACATTCATCTTTACGTCTGGAATTTTAGTGCAGAATTCAGTGGCATAGGCACTTAGTTGAGATGCATTACTTAGAATGACATACATTTTCTCAAAACAAAAAAAAATACAATGCTTGTAGCAGGATAAAAGAAGGAAGGCGATAGTATGAGTAGTAATAATACAGTATCACCTGAGAAGTTTTCTCATCAACTGGGATTTATTTACATAGAAAAAGAAATAGACTTGGTAAAAATAATAAAAACAACCGATTTTTAGTGAATTTATAAAAGTTATGTTATTTGTCTAGTAGCCGGCCAAGGTTTTTCTACCGGCCGACATCACTATAAAATTTGTTAAGGCGCAATTAGTAATGGATTTTAGATCCACTCTGTTGAAATAATTAAAGCTCCGAAAGAGCCGTGTGTAGCAAATGTACAATTTTTTATTTTTTACTATAATCAACAATAATAAAAAATTGTTACTTATCAAATTCAAGTCATCGAGCTTGAAAGCTCAAGCTAGTTAGGCTCATTCGGAACTTTAGAGGTACCGATAATCAAATATTGGTAAATGTAATTGTCAAAGAACCTGTTTAATTCAAAAAATTATCATTTGATATTTATGTAAGATAAAATTGTTTTATTTCAATAGGTGATTTGGACACCTATTTGTAACTACTTTTTGTTCCATC